ATTTTTGGTTGTGGTGGAATGCCGGCTTACGTCAGGGTAATACTGAGTCCATCAGTCCAACTGGTCTTTCGGTATATTTCCCATCCACTGAATAATATCGTCAGCCATTATCGAAGCGCAGACTCAAATTACGCGTGTTGTTTTAAACAGAAAGTAGTTCCAGGAAAATAGACGCGTTTTCCAAATATGGTAAACGGGGCCGGGCGTGATATGAAAAATTATTGCAGGCTCGCGCATCGGGATTCACATAGTTACAAGCCGGGCAATACGAGGTATATGATAAACACCCATCCTGCACACATACAACCCTGGTAAATAGTCCACAACCCTGTGAATTCATAAACATAGCATACACATACAACTCTGACATTTGTCAGATTCACAGACATAGCTCACAACCCAGATTCATTCATGTCGTATAACTGTCTTCATCTAGTGAATTATCTTATATGTTGTAATGTCAAGTGAACTGTCATCATCCCATGAAATAATATCATGAACAATTTATCTAGATTATTTTGTGTTTATGCCACATTAGAACCTAGCATTTAACATATACCAATATCCATAAATACTATTGATAAATACACATCATAATAATTTGCATATCAATTATCTGGTTGCTAGGTGATGGTAACTATGCATGCATTTTATGCAATTTAACTCTGGTTGAATGATTCAGCCTGTTGCTGATGGGGTTGCCATAGCAATGCAATATTCAGAAAAATTATGAACAACATGGGAACAATATTACGGATGACTAAACTATATTCCACTGTAACTAAAAAAAAACATTAAAAAAAATCATAAATTAAAAGATAATGAAACTATGTGTATGTTAATAATGGTTTAAGGGTCACTCCTGAAAGAAGACTACATGTAGTTGAAAGTAACCATGACAAATGGAATTTTAATCCAGTAATGAATTGAAGATTATGTATGTATGGCGGTGGTTTTCAAATGCATCTTTTTAACAATTTGATGAAAATTCATCTGGTACGTTATTATGAATAAATTTGAGATTTGAACAGTTGAATGACATTGACACCACATGTTCTTTTCTTGGTATCAGTAAAACCATGCATTGTTCAAATGGCAGGATGGATGTTAATTAATCCCAAAGTGAAATCCTGACTAAATGAAAACACAATGCCAACAATTGAGTCCTGCTATAATACCTTGTTATAAATGGGCTTCTTTTATAAGTTTTAGAGTGACAATGAGCATATTAATTTATTAATCAGCTGGTACATGAACAATCACAATTGCTGTTAATACTCATCATCATCATAAATACCGTAAAATCTGTATTAGAAGCCGCATCCCTAATAGAAGTCGCACCCATTCTTTTTGAATAATTTAGAATAAAAAATTCATCATTTCTCATATGTGTACATGCTCTAATAGAAGCCGCATCCCCTCTGTTGCATTGTACCATTTTAATAGAAGCCGTGGCTTCTAATACAGATTTTACAGTACTCATCATACAAAATTTATATTTAAACTCCAATTACTTCTACAGCTGATTGCCATAAAAAACATGAAGTCATAGCTCCAGCAAGTCAAATGAATTATTCCAATCTTTTTTCACTTTCTGAATGTACATATTAAGGAAGGTTTGCCCAATAAACACAAACATTTTTGATCAAACTGACCCCCTAGCCCACCATTATTTATTTTCAACCGACTTAATATAGAGACTATTTATGAATAAAATTACTATGTTTCCGGATTTACCATTCCTACTTTTCCATGGGATGAGTACCCACATCTCAACCCATGTGATTGTGCATAATTAGTTTCCTGTGAGTTATTATGTGTCAAATTTAAGTATTCATAAAACCAAATAAATTACAGGATTTTATTTTAATACCAGCAAAATGACAAAATTATATTTACACAAAATTAATTCACAATTTTCATATAATCTTCTCTTGAAAACAACAGAAATTTGTTGAGTATGATATTCTATTGAATTGTATACTGTGGAATACTTTATTTTCGCTGGAATTAATTTTCGCTGAAAAGGCTTTTTGGGCGTTTTGTATGGAATTTATTTTCACTGATATTTATTGAGTTTAATGTGAAATATAGGAAAAAAAGTATATTCGCTGGATTTTATTTTCACGGAATCATCCCTTTAGCGAAAATGGTGAAAATAAAGTCTTCTACAGTATGTGAAAAGTGTTCTAAACAATGATAAAACACATACTTCATGTAACCAGGGACAGCTCATGTAATAAAATTATTATTTGGTACCCAGTACTTTTTTACTTAGATACCGGTACAATTAGGTTCTACTGGTTAATATTTAAGTTTGAAAACATGCATTTTTTTTGTGAAGAAACAAAACAAAATTTGTATAAGAATTTGAAAATAATAAAAACACATGACCAATTGATTAAATTGATTTTTAATTTTTTTCTTCTCGGCCTAAAAATGTTTTAGTAGACATACAGAATCCATATAATGTAAAAGTATTAATTTTCACTGGTACAGTATTTAATAA